GGGCCACGGATGACGGAGTTGTCCTCAGAAAAACACTAAAATTGTTACGACGGTTGAACGGGCCCAAAGTAAGTGGGCGGGACTGAGGGCAGACCCAGTCACCCAACTAGCTGAATAGGTTACAGGCGCGTTGTCGATGATCGGTCGATGTCTGTGAAGTAACTTCTGGTCAGAGATGAAATAAATTAGTAGACAAACTTTGCGGTAAAACTAACCAAGTATAGTAAAACCGTCCTCTCATACCGTGAACCAGAGCCGGCCATGCCGCTCCGCCCGCCTCCCGGTATAACACACCGGTGTGCTGCGGCACAGCCTACCCGGCGAGGCGACGGAGCGCTGCGGCACAGTCTATACAGCCGGGCGGCTGCGCCAGGCGGCAGCGGCCCCTGAGCCAATCGCGGATCCGGGAAGGACCGGCGTTTTGTGATCTATGCTTTTGAGTTTTGGAAGATTTAAATTTGAGACTGTTAAATGTTTAATGATATGATTGCCTGCTGGAAGTTGATGGACAGAAATTCTGTGAGCCAGGAACCGTCCGCAGTTTGTCTAGCCCAGGGCTGCGGAGTCGGAGTCGGAGTCGGAGTCGGAGTCGGTCGGAGTCGACAGTTGTGACCGGAGTCGGAGTCGGAGTCGGAGTCGATTTTAGAAACCCGAGCCGGAGTCGGAGTCGGAGTCACCGAAAATCTGTCGACTCCGCAGCCCTGCTAGGTCTGCGGAGTCGGAGTCGGGAGTTGGAGTCGGTCGGAGTCGACAATTCTGCCCGGAGTCAGAGTCGGAGTCGGAGCTGGTTTTTGAAAGCCGGAGTCGGAGTCGGAGTAGGAGTCGCCGAAAATCCATCGACTCCGCAGCCCTGGTCTAGCCTCAAGCCTGTTGTGATGACTTGTGAGCCAAGGCCTAATCAAATACATAGCTCAAGAGTACGAGGATGCGCATTATATTTGCCAATTATCAGTTGTTAGCGCTTACCATATGCATTTGAAGTCAAACGCCACATCCCACAACCAAGCCGTGCGGACGATGACCTAATGGAACGTGTGTCAGGCGACACAGCCTAGGCAGCCGTCTAACGAGCCGTCGGGTCTCGTCAGACATGCACGTATCAGGAGCCAGTGTCGGACAGCGGCTCATACAGTCCACTGCCCAGTGCCCATTTACACGCTGCGCTAGTTACGAGACACAGGCGTTGGGGGAACGAGCTAAAGAAGCGAGATACGAATCGACGACGATGGAGAGACGTCGCTTCGTACTTAAAGTGTGACAGTGACTTTCGAAAAAACTGGACAGTGGGCTGGACGAAAAATGGACAGTCGAGGTTGGTATCACTGACGTGATGCTAGCGGTGGACAATGAACGGACACGAGTTAAGTCCCTGGCGGACACTGGACCCTGGACGGACACGGAGTCGGACTCCGCTGGTGCCGGTGACGGATACTGGATGGCAGCAGCTGATAACTAGGGAACAGGAGGCAGGAGCCCATTGTGTCTTGAAGGCTCACAGAGTCTTCAGAATTATCCATCAATAGTCGCGTTTACATAGCATTTTTGACGAGGCTCTAGCTCATTCATTTTGCGATAATTTCGAAGCAGTGATGTTTGTATATTTAGAGGGGATATTTTGTTAATTGTAAAGCATCATTGGCATCTTTTGCAACATAACGGGCGGAGCTATAAGCTTGCAACAATCCCTATGTAAACGGGGCTAATACCGAGGTGCAACAAAAGAGCTTCACTGAGGCATTTGTCTACACCACGATGAACCTCCTCAGGCAAGGCGTTTCAAATTGACCAAAGCCTTTAACTAGTTCTCCCCAGCAGAGCTGACGCAGAGGTTTTAAGAACCTAATGTAAAATGTTGGGGGCACACGAACGCCGACGAGCTCACACTGCACTCAGTGTATAATGTATATCCAGTATCCACATTCCACAAAATATGCTAATCGACAGTCAGACGCGAACCAACCACATTGGACACTACACACTAGGTCACATACATTATACATAATTATACATCACATACATTATACATCGCATACATTATACATACATCATACGCTGACGCCCAGCCCGTCCGTCAGTGGCAGGTGACAGCACCAGCCGAGCCGGGCACGCCTCCCATAACAGTCGGGCAGCCGGGCGCCAAATCGTCATGACAACGGTACGGGTGGGTGTGTTGTTTACAGGCGCTATCAGCGGTATTTACAAAGGAACTTGAGTGCTGGGGCCTTCACACAAAGTTCGCAGTGAGTGAGAGGGTCGAGTCTCTGGATGTGAATCTTGGTAGGTAGACATCAGGGTATATTGAGGGTAGACATTGTGATTTGTGAACTACATTTTGGAAAGAAGTCCACTCGCAACGGCGATCTGGTTAAATGATGTTTCAAAGGCCCGAATGAGGACGGATCTAAAAATATTCCAGTAGCAGGAATATAAGGCTTCCAGTCCTACGGCAATCATTCGCCCGCGTTCTCCCGTCTGTGGCTGGGCTCAGACTCGTCTCACCCCGTACCGTGACTCTTATCACTGAGGAAGGGTCAATTACGACCCGAGGCATTCAAACTACGCTGACCTCAGCTCAGCAGTCAGCTGCCTGCAGCATCTGTCTCTCTCACGGGCAAACGGAGCTGTGCTTACCGTGCCATGGAACCGGTTTCATCCAGTAGGGTCTGGATATAACCGGACTTAAACCTCATATGTCCTGACTGGTGCATCCCGAGAGCATCGACTACGGCGGGATGTTGTTTTACTGCCGTTGCTTGCTCGAGCTCGGACGAGTCGTTTCGCGTCTTAGCAATTAGCATTTAAAGATCGAGAGCTGCTTCATACCCTGGACAGTGGGCTTAGAGACTATCACTAGACCAAGACTATGTAGATTGTAATTCAGGGTGTTAAGTGTAGTCTGCAGTGAGGCAATTCATCTTCATCTTCATCTTCATCTTCGTGTTATCGGGGCAAGAGGCACGATGTCCTGTAGGGCCCGTTCTCGCCGATTTCCATAACTTCACTTAGTACTCAGTCTGTTACAGGAGTGGAGTACCAGATCGACTCCCAGTGTGCATCCAGCCTGTTCTTAAAGACGTTTGACTGAGGGCGAATGTACAATTTCTGCTGGAAGCCCGTTCCAATCGTTAATACACCGCACAGAAAATGAATTCAGTCTGGCACGGCAGGTTGCCCGAGGCTTCCGTAGTTTAAGTGTGTGACCCCGAGTTCGCCTTTCAGGATTCGTTGCCAGAAGCTCTGAAGGATCAGTATCAACGTGGCCGTGCAGCATCTTGTATGCGTGAATCATATCCATGCGTCTACGCCGATAGTACAGTGACGGGAGCTTCAGTCTCTTCAGCCTTTCAGGATATGGAAGGTGGCGGATGCTCACCACTAACCGGGTGGCTCTTCTTTGAACCCTTTCGACTGCCTTCTGATCAGCTCTATTGAACGGACCCCAAACAAGACTGCTGAACTCCAGGTGAGGCCGCACGAGAGATTTGAACAGAAGAGGCAGGGTAAATTCATCTAAAAAGGCGAAGGACCGGCGGATGACCGCAAGAACTTGAGACGCTTTGAAGACCGCCGTAGACGCTTGCTGTCGAAACTTCAAGATTGAGTCGATTACACGGCAACGAATGACTTTAGAGCTGTCGTGCGACAGGGATCATCCTGCACATTTTGGGGAATTCCGCTGGGCTGAGCATCAATCAAATGTCTTATTAATTACGAGCATTTACGAATAAGGAACATCAACTTACAACTATCAAAATTATAATGATACTTAATGCAATATTTATCATAGGGCAATATTGTAATAAGTAACTCATGCAAGTAGGAATGTTGCACGCTGACTTGCTTGCTCAATATTCCAAGAACCTTTCAACTGTATGGGAAGACGGGTCAGGGCGGTCAATCCATCGCACTGGCTAGGGTTCATTCTAGGTATAGTATAAAGCTCTGGGTAAACTCAAATGACGGTCGTACGACGTGCACTGACAATTTGCATATCTCAGGTCATCCATAATCTAAGCAATACAAGGTCCACGGCCTTCGCCGAATGGAAGTCACGCCCATCTTATGCCAGCCTCTCGAGAGTACGGATTCTGAAAAGATTTACACAGGGGTAAATATGTTGTCTCGTGGTAGCTGCCGCGACTGGGAATGCCAGAGTTAGTCGGAGCGGTGACCGGTTGGGTTCGTTATAATCACTAGCCACATCCAACCGCACAACGACATGGATCGGACAAAGCGACCCAACGACCCACCTACCCATACAGAACTGGCCCTGCAGAGGCCCAACGATACCCCCGAAAACCGACCGGGGGAGCGGTAGACGTGCCCTTTCGGGGAACGGGGGAGGGTAGAGCCAACCACGCGGTGGACTCAGAGTAGCAACAGACACCGGCCAGAAATGTCACTGAACGGACACCAAGCGGATGCCCTAGGTGAGACGACTCGGGAAATCGAACTACGGAGGCTCACGTTCACATCGCTCTGGGGCCATCAGGCGTATCTGACGTCCAGTCACTAAGCTCCACAGCTTATGTAGCGGGTCGTCAATCACAGTCCGCCCCTCCCCCCCCCCCCCCCACCGGAACCGACCGACAGCGGGGAACAACCGACACGCACCGGCGTGACCCGCATAGAACCGCACCGAACCGGCTCATGTCAGCGGTTCAATATATGCGCCGGGGGACGGGAAGGGGGGCAAAGGCGGGGCTGGGGTGCTGGGGCACACCGTTTGCCGCCACTGGCAGTGCTCTGTTTGCACCGGCATCACCAAATGTCAAGGTAACGCTGCACTTCGTGTCGAACCACTAGCAAACGAAACTTGAACTATACGAGTTATTCATGGGGTCTTTAACACCTTTGATTCGGTGCAAGATAACTAAGGACGATTAAATTTAAAATAGTGCGATTTCTCAAAACTCGGTGTACCCTGGTTCCATTCGATGCAGGGGTTCTACCCATAAAGTTGAGCCTAACTTTCAAAGGAAAACTGTGAAAGGAAAGGAAACGATAAATGCAGAATATATTCAGGACCGCGGTGGGCAACCACTGATTATAAACGCAATACCGAGATCGCCAGTCGGTGACAATGCCCCCTAACTCACAAGTGGTCGGTCTGTGATACACGCCAACAGCTGTGACGGCATCAAAAGACAATAAACGGCGACCACCCGGCCCGGCAGAGTCTCCCACTGTCACCTGCACCTGACCGTCCTTACGACGGGTAATAGGCGCGCCCAACTGGACCACTCGGCGGGATCGGGACGGATCGCTTCCACACGGACACGGCTCACTTCACGGCATTGTTCGGTGAAAGACGAACCGCTTAGTCGCTGGACGTCACGGCAGGATGCAGGAAGGCGAGATGGACGTCAGGTGTCACGACTCAGGTGATCACGGAGTTCGCAGGGACCAACAGGTGGGTTGTTTAGGTCAGAACAGGCCACAGAGGTACTCACTCATTGTAGGATCTTGCGGCATATCCAGCCATTCAATTAAAACTCTTCGCTCGCGCACCCGTCGAACGGGTTCTCAGAACCCGGGTTTCTCAGCGGTGGTTACTCCCAGCGCCGCCCTTGGCCGCGGTTACGGTAGATGATGCCGAGCACCTTCTCCACGGCGGACGGAGGGGGCGGAGAGTCGTCAAACCTGGACAGAGGAGCGGGGTAGGTGAGGGTAGGGAGAGGGGAGGGAGAGAGGGGAGGGTGGCCCGGTGGTCGAACACGAGACAACATGAACATCACCCATCAGGTAGGTATATGACAATGAGGGCGACATGAACAGGGGATACGACACGAGAGGGACAGGCTGGAAAACTGGAAAAAATCGAAAGTAGGTTAGCAACTATCTATAAAATATTCACAAAAGCGATCAATAATCTGAATCCACAGCCATGAGCCAACGATTGGTGAATGGACCGTCTAAACGCCAAATCTGACGCGCCGAGGGCCGTTGCAAGCCTGCAGGCTTGCGAGTCGAATACGCCACCCGGAAGGTGGAAATAGCCGGGCACTGAGCGGCCACTTTGAACCAAATGACTGGCCACCTAGCCGTGCCAATGTGGCTACAGATGGTCAATATGGTGCAATATCCACATGCGCAGTTCGCTCGCGTCTAGAAAAGCAAACTAACCACGCATGAGATGACGTTATGAGACATGATGTATTGGTGCAATAGACATGTTACATAAAGAGGGCTCTAAACTCCTTACCTATTGGTCAATTCACAAATATACAATCTGACATGATTTCGGGCGGGCCCGTGAACGATGAGTTGTGAGATACACACGATGAACTGCTGGGGCGGATCACTTATCGAAGTTTATCTTGTACTAAAGTCGTGCGATATGACCCCACAAAGCAAGCCCACTCTCTGGGGTTGTCACCATCACAAACAGAAGTTATGCAACTCTCCGTCCCGTCAGCATCCCATCAGCGAATCTATCCCTGTGTTCGGTCGTGCCGTTTTTCGCGTGTAATTTCCACGCTGAGGACTCCCTCACGGAAACAGCCGTTCGGGCATCGCAGAACGCGAGGAATCCCGCGGGATCCTCGAAACGGCATGCCCGAACGGCCGTTTTCGTGAGGAATTCCTCGGCGTGGAAATTCCTCACGAACTAGTTAAGGCACGTCCGAACGCAGGATATAAAGCGTCTGGCAGTACAAAGCGCAGCGAGCGACACCAGCGGTCTCTAGCGGCTACGGCGTCGGCGGAGCTTCATAACCTGAACACGGGGCGGCGCTGTTTCATCGACGGGATAAAGGTGCCCGGCTTGCGGCGCAGGCGGCGCACCGCCTCGCGCAGGTGGCGCGGCTGCACGGGGCCCGCGTCATCCGTCTCGTCCTTAACGTCCAGAGCTGAGGGCGAGTGGCGAACAGGTCAGTTATTGCAATTTTAGTACTTCCGAGTTCTGATCATCGGAAACCTTCCTGAAAACTGAAGACAAGATTCATTCATATATACTAAATAGAATTATCATTGCCTCTAAACAGCGAAATTCGGGACACTGGCTATCATTGAGCGTCACCGACTCTGCCCTTCCCCGAGCAGCCCGCACCTACCTTCTTCCATGACCTCTCCGACAAACACCTTGGCGATGCCGGACATGGCGATGACGGCGTTCTGGGAGACGGAGCAGGTAGTCAGCGTCTGCATCAGCTGCAAGTGAGGAGGTCGGCACGGTCAGTGCGCGGTCAGGTTATCTTTGGGATACGGAGACATGAGGCGACTGGGTCCGGGCGGGCAATAGTTAAAGCCCGATCCGAACCATCACGGCATTTATTGGGAAAATACGCCTACAATTAGCAATTGATATCCTTCGCGGCGTTCAAACACGCGTGCTCAAACAGGCGCAACCGAATCGGTTGCGTTATTCAAAGTCATTTGACTATCCAGCCAGACGAACACTTACAAAGTGAAAAGTCCTCAAGAAGAGGAAGCAATACGTAAAACGAGACACTCTACGTGAGGGTAAGAAGTCTCCGTTCGCGAACAGCCATCATCATTTCATCAGTGAGTTTGGACCGTCAGTGCGCGCCGACACTCACCCGTTTGATGGCGGCCTTTGGGAAGGCGGCGCGCCGGTACATTTCGTACCGGTCCAGCTGCTCCTCGGTGAAGTACGACACTAGCACCCTGACGGAGACGGAGGGGGCGGGGCATCAGTGGAGCACGATATTTCACAGGCAATTAAGCACTCGGTGACACTGTGTGCAGTATTCAACCATGCATACATGCTTTACTCCACAAAACCTTTTTGGGTCAGATTTCCTCATTTTCTACACATTGTCTCGTCAGCGTATTGTCATCGGGGTTCGGTCGCAAAACTGAGGACAGTTTGGGGAAGTTATTGTCTATTGAAGCAGTTGTAAAATTAAATTACCTTCATAGAGGTTATGATATTTTTCGAAGTGAAATGCATAAATGTCGATACTCTTGACCTTGCGTTTCAAAGCATAATTGCAAAAATGACACGCATGAAATGAAAATAAAAATCCATAAACAATCTCCCAGTCCCACTCACTGCATCTTCTCGCGCTCCTCCTCCTCGAGCTCCTGCCGGGAGCGCCCTTGTTCCGCTGACTCCTCCTGGGAGGAGGACTCGGACGGCCGCGGCAGCTGGATCTCCGAGTCTGTGGAGCCGCACACCGGCACAAAGTCAGCGGAGCCGTGCAGCACGGACGGCGCAGCCGAACAAACCACAGAGCGGCTATCCTGATTTAATGACGTAGGTAATGCATTTGAGATTTATGGACAGTGCCCAATGCCCATCGATTAATTGGAGGCTGCCACTCGAGCCAGTAACCACAAAAAGACGATAGTATTCTGTGCTTTCCTGTTTCCACAAAGGAAAACAGAAAATACCATTCTGGTCATATCCATGGCAGTCAGAGACACATCACATAGATTTCGGAGTAGTACATTCCCTACTACTGATTTTTCATTCAAGGATGAAAATTCCAATCTGAGTTTCCTCATACTTTGTTTTCAGGCAAATACCAGCCTGATCCGCGAGATAGACTCAACCACTCCCATGGACTCAGGAACTCGATATTCACCTGCAGTGGGTGTGATGGGGTCAGACAACTCGTCAGCCTCAGAATCCAGGCGGACTCGCTTGGTCGGAGGCGAAGAGAGCAGCTGGGAGAGTGGATCAGTAGTAGGACCCGGAGTGGACGGAGTCGTCACCAGTTCAGAGCCAGACTCACTGGAGACGCTCATCCTGACAGCTAATCCCAGAGCTACTGAAACACAATAAATGGTCAGCTGACTCTCAGAGTGGCAATCATTACATTGTCAGCAGTGGTAGGCCTTTGGCAGCAGCAGTTAAGTGGAACACGATGGTGGGGCCAGCGCCTTCTGCACAAACCTCACATTATTGACCACACCACACTATACAAATCTAGATTTTGGAGCAACATAGAAACACTGGTGCAGTGCAAAAATATATTCGTACTTGGACTAAATTTGGTGCACAGGCAATAGAGAAGATGTAACCAAGCACCCATTACCAAAATACTGTGCCACATTTATAAAACCTAAAAAATTTCAAAGTAGTATGCTTAACAGATGCTTGGATGCCAGATCAGATGTGAGCCCTACAACAAAAAAGCCTAGCAAAAAGGTCAATTTCAAGTTCATCCTTATTGTTATTCAAAGTTCAAGCTCCGAAGCAGGACCGGATCTCGGTAGTCACAGCTTTTGGCCAAATTAAAGCTTACGGTCAAAACATCAATAATGATATCCGTACAAGCCAACAGCCGCTTAAAATTTCAATTTAGAAATTAATTATAATCACAGACCCTCATAATAGGCAAAAATTAAAGCAAAACAAAACGAGAATACAAGACGTAAGCAGCTTTTGTCGCTTTGACGCCATATTTGACAACGCCTGTACACAGCGATGGTAGTACAACAGTACTAAATTGTTTTGGTCTGTAAATGTCATAAAAAATAAACATAAAACATAAATTGTAAACCAATATCTCAGTATATGGCACGTTCTAACCATCTTTCTAAGCCCCTTATCTTCAAAAGCTTAAGATTATGATGTGACAATGATAAGTAGTACCTAACCGGCTTTGGCCAGTTTTCACCCGACGAACGGGAGAGCCGAAGCTGAAGACTGAAGTTCGCGATCACACACTGCATAGATCAAGAAATAGATATCGTCGGCACCGGTTCCATGATAAACACTCAAAAAATATAAATCCACTATCTTTGTGCTAATGACTTGTCATAGGTCCGGTAACCGAAAAATATTTAGGTACCTATTATGATGAAATTAGGCAAAGCTGAACCATGATCTCAGGCAGCTTTTGCAAAATTGTCAGGGAACTCAGATTTGTTTTCAATAGAAAAACACAATTCTAACGAATAGTGTTTTAACTATTGAAAACAAACCTTCGGTTATTTATTTTCTCATAGTATGACGCTAAACTCTGGCCATACCTAAATGGCAACAGTCAACACCATTCATTGCTATTGCAAGCGACATTTGTGCATCCAAACCAAGCCTTCACTAAAGACGTCACACTCCGTTATATTTATTTGCCGTTTTTGCGAGTTAATCATAGCCAAACAACAAAGCACAACATGACACAAACGAGATAAATTTTCTCACAATTTAGCTTTGGGTGCCCGACTGCCGGCCGGGAGCGTGCCTGTCTTTCGATGTGCCAGACGAAGCACCTGATTCAGACCTCCTGGAGCTCCGATTATCCGGTACATCGGTCGGCACCTGACTCGGCGAGCGCGTGCTTCTTCGCTCTTTCCTCAGCGAAGCTCCACGCTCACGCACATTCTCCCAGGGGTCGATGGAGCCCAGCACGCCCTTGGTGCTGCGCGCGATCGCCTTTTGAATGGCGTCGAGCAGTTTCTCGTGAGAAGTGTCGCGGCCGAGCCGCTGTTTCAGCCGCTCCCAGATGACCACGCCGCGGTTGATGCGCTGCTGCAGGTCGCGGTGCTTGTCCTGCGTGTTGGAGATCTGCAGCAGGCGGAACGTGCCGGCCGCCTTCCCGGTGGTCTGGCGCACGATGGGGTAGTAGACGCCGCGGAACTGCAGCGTGCAGAGCGCGCTCGTGGAGGCCGGCAGCTCGTACAGCAGACGCACGTTGCCGCTCTCGTCGCAGAGGTCCAGCTCGGCAGCCATCGGGGGCAGAAGGGTCGCCATGCGGTCCCGCAGCCAGTCCAGCAGCACCTGGGCGTTGCAGTCGGCGTTGGCGAAGATGGAACGGTCGTCGCCCACCTTTATAATGATGTAGGTCATTTTCGGATTTGGTCACGTCGACGTGTTGGTTCGATTCGTTCGTTATTGGGGAAGGCTTCGTTTTCGCATGAAAATCTTACAAGAAAGTACAACTACACGTTCGTAAGTCGTAACTCGTAATGCTTCCGTGATTTTGACACGATTACCTTGGTGACATTTGCGAAAAACGTCAATCGCCCAATTTTATTTTCTAGTACCTAGCACTTTAACCTCCTGTTAGTTAGAATAGATCCTACGATTAGCCACCCGAGTTTACACCCAAGATACCCAAAATGCCCAGCGTTTCCCATCGGTTGGTTTGTAATGTGAGATAATCTTGTTGCTTGGCAAGTTAACAACTGTAAAATTTTAATACGTCTCGCGGCATCACCGTCAGGAAGCTTCTTGTTTAGGTGGTCAAAATCAAACCTTTTTACTGACTTACTTCATTTTCTACGCAATACCGCAGCATGTCAACTTATTGCAAGCGAGCATCCCGCAGCTATTTCAGATATCGCCGCTTGGCGTCAAGACTCACGTTCCAGCCATGCATGAAAAGACGAGGAGCAGGGCTGCTCTCGTTTGACGTCAACCTCCGCTCTGGCTCTGAGTCAGAACGGATTCGTCCCGGTTCCAAGGCCCGAGTTTCGTAGAGTGAGTGCTGATTGGGGCAGAACTGAGACCAGGCACCGTCAGCTGGGCATGGCGACGGCGCAGGGCCTGCAAATGGTCCATAGGCTCTGGGGTTACTGCTGGATTGTTGTAGTTATAGAGTATGGGAAAATCAATTGATTCACGTCATTTCCTAGATGTTCAACTCTGTGTGATGGCACAACGCAATACATTTCCTGTAGGCATGTTTTGTGATTTTTTCCAATGCGTCCCGATTTAAAAAGCCCTACCGGCAGAATCCTTCGTTAAATGGACTATCCCACCTTCTAAAATGTTGTTAAAACCAGTTAAATTGTGCCCGACTTTATAGATTGGATGACCAGGAACACGGTTCTGGCATTTATTTTTCATTAAACATCTTAGGCTTCCCATATTCCAAACACAAACTTTCAAATATGTGACGTCACAGCCCAAAATTACCTCCTTCCCCAGGCCACAATACTGTCATAAAGCTGATTCTTTTTACTCTGTAGGCACTACAACAAAGTTCAGACCAAGTTTTCAGCGATTTTTCAACGAACAAACCCATTTAAATCAGAATGACTAAACGAGGTGACGTCACACTAACGGTCGCTCCACTGTTGAAGATAGGGCCTTGTACAAGGCCCATTTTCAAATGAAGGGAACGAATTTCTTCAACACCAAGAGGCCGCGGGGGTTGCAACCTAGATAGATATTGGTTTCTGAACCTCGCCGCAAACTTGGCTATCTCAACTCAAACCCCATGTTAAAGGTGGGATAGTCCCTTTAAAGAATAATTTTTTTCTGGTACAATAAATGCATTAAAGCCATACCTTTACAAATCAAAGATCCCACAAGTTGCAAGCAGCGTGATGACACGTCATAAATCAATGCATAAGCAAAGCCGCACGATAACGGCAAAAGCGGATACATGAGTGCTCGCATTCAAGACGATCGATCGAAAAAAAAAATCATCAAACGACCGAAAACCAAGTCGATCTGAGCCAACTTTATGAAAATTGAGACAGAGAAGGAATTGTAAATCATAATTTAATTCTAAGCTTAATTAAGCTGCCGTCTTACCTCGCTACTTGTGGGTTGGCTAGTCGTCTCCCTGCGATGACGTTCGTCCGAGTCAAGATCGGCGAGTTTGAGGTGATTGCCAACGCCGACTGTTACGCCGCCATGCTGCTCGATTGGCTGCGGCAGCGGGTGGGCGATGTGCTCGGCGGCGGCCCCCTCGAGGGAGCGCTCGACCTCTGTGACGAGACCGGCGGGCCGCGCCTGCTCTGGGCTCTGCCGCCGCGGGTGAACACGCTCCAGGGCCCAGTTTCACCAAGCTCTGTTTGGGGTAGTTTCGGCGAAACTACCCCAAACCAGTTTCACCAAATGGGGTAGGTTCTGATTGGCCACTTCCAAACTACCCCATGGGGTAGTTTTTATTTTACCCCAAATTTGCCATGCAAACAGATGCTCACGGTCCGTGAGCATCTGAACAAGCCAATCAATCAGCTGTTTGCCGGCAATTCTACCCCAAATATCCGACCAAAATTACGGCTGACATTCGTGGGGTAATCTGTGAATATGATACGAATTGTGAGCAACAATTGACAGTAAAATAGTAATAAGAACATATTTTATTGAAGTCCAATCACCTGTCATGTTTGAGTATGCATTATTCATAGCATAGATACTTCAAGTTTCATCCAAATATTTTACTGCATGTAGCCTGCACCACCTATGCTTGTGATCTGCATTGCAACACCCAAAAGAAGCATTATAGATGTCGCCGATAGCTGAATGCCAGGATTTTTACTTTTTTAACTATTAAAGGTTTTCCTTCAACAGTGACCTTGAATACCGGATGAGGAAGCCTTGAAATATAAACAATAAAAATGCACATTCTTCACGGTGGTTATCTACATGCTGACGATGTGTCTTGTTGAAATGATCATAGTACTTCAACTTGTGTGATCTATTCAAATTATCATTCGAGGTATCTATATGCCTTACGGTCAATGTGCAAATATCCAGCAAATGTCAAGACGCTAACAACTGAAATAAAAATAAAAATGCCGTACCTAAATCAGCAAGAGAATGTCGTGCATACCTAGGTAATTCTCATTAGAAATAAAAAGCAAATGGTGCAAGTAATGCGTAATAAGCAGTTGTTAAAAATACCAGGCCAAGTGGATTCGATACTTTCCATATCTATTTTTTTATTTTTGTCGCTGTTGTGCATATCTCAATAAAGTTGCGTTAAATGGGCCGTGCATCTGTAGGTACTGTATGTATTTTGTAATGCACATTAGAAATAAAAGCATCTGGTGCAAAAGATTCGTAGTTAAAAGTCGCCAAAAATACCAAGCAAGGTGTATTCGATACTAGTAAAACATGCACTAATTTACTGAAACATTCTAATTATAAAACACTAGGTAAACATCTAATCTAATCTAAATCATCTAATTTAAACCACGGTGACTATAAATAATTTAAACATCTAATATAAACATCAAATTTACTAAAACACTAATTAATTTTAAAACATTCGATACTATTCGATAATAAAACATGCCATTGTTCTGTAACCTATCCATCAAGATTCGCGGTTGTGCATTGCCATTCCTTTCTCAATAAAGTTGTGAATCTTGGAAACTGAGGTGCCATTGTGCCATCGTTACCAAGGTGATTGGTAGACAAATACAAGAAGCCAAATCAAATGTGTTCTTCATTTCACGCCGTCGTGAAATGAAATTCTCGACCAATCAAAACGTTCCGTTGTTTTGCTGATGCTGCTTGCTTAGCAAACATTCACAAGAGACGCCGAAACTACCCCATGGGGGTAGTTTGAGCTGGTGAAACTGGATTTTACCCCATGGGGCAGAATGGAAATCTACCCCATGCCGAAATTACCCCACTTGGTGAAACTGGGCCCAGGTGCTGACGCCCCGCGCCGTCTACTACCTGGTGGTGCGCCGGCAGCCGGGCGCCGTCTTCAAACTGGTGCGGCCCATCGGGCGGCCGGAGCTGCTGCGCGCCGTGCACGACCGACTGAAGCGGGCCGTCTCGGCCTGGGGCCGCGCCAGGGCCAAACTGGCCGCCGACGTCTCTCAGGAGCAGCTGGTCGAGACCGTCAACCAGTGCATCTCGCAGCAGGCGACCCGGAACCAGCGGCGGTCGGCGCGGCCCCAGCACTCGGCCGACAAGTGGCACAAGCTGAGGGACAAGGTCGAACATGAGATAGCTGCCACCGACAACCACCTCACAGACGGCCATCTGCGAGCGAGGATGGCGCACCTGAAAGTCTGAGAAATTGCGCAGCGCCGGCACACCAAACCATTAGTCGTATTGAGCTTCATTGCATGAAGATGTAAAATGTACGAACACCTCGCACAACTGTAAAAACCATCAGCCGCTATACGAATGAACTGAAATGTTTTGCGCAATACATGTGTTTGAAGTTTGAACGTCCCTTGTCTCGTAATATACTGAGTCTGACTACCGGTAAGGGATCAGGAAACATTCAATGCTTTAAAATGTTTCGGTGTAATATCCACCACCACCGCCTCAAAGCGGTAATCGCCCAAGCGCAAAGAATGTTTGCCTCACCATTTGAAACTGTATTGTACGATTGATGTTACACAATACAAAATTGGCTTGACGTTACTCCCACCGTCATTAAATACATACAAAACAAACAAGCGAATAGATGACAATGATCCGTCTCGTGATTAATTTCCAATTTCGGAGGAGGCAGCGAGACCCGGCCGACTCGGTGTGCCGATCAGCGGGCACGTTCGGCGACCGTCCCGGCCGAGGGGCGCCGTGCACGCAGCGCCCGGCGCCCCGGCCGGTCAGTCGCCGACCATCCGAGCTCAGCCGAGTCGCGCACGCACCACCGACACGAGGCAATCGCGCCCCGCGGTCGAGCGAGTCACGTCCTGAAAGGGGCGCCGGCCGGGCGACCGAGCGCGACCCGGTGAGGCTGGGACCGGCCCGGCGGCCCGACCGCGCGCGCTGAGCGGCGACTGCTTTCGGTACAGCCACAGCCTGGTTGGTAGCCGCCGAGACTGCGAGGGTGAGACGGGCCCTCGCCTGAACTGAGCGCGCCCACTGCGAGGCCGGCCCGTGCACCCCCCCGCTCCCGCTGGCAGCACTGCTCCGTCATTGTCCGTCCGCGCCGCCGCGGCGGTCGCGTCCAGCCAAATACCATCTACCTCTCCACCAGTCTCAGTCACGCTATTGACATAGCTCCGGAGTAGCTCCGGATCGACAGACCTCTGCTGTCGGCGGGCGGCCGGCCGGCGGCTGCTCGTGCCTGGCGCGGTCCGGCCGCCCGCTCTGCCGGCCAGTGCCGGCTCTCTAGCCCAGCGACGGGAAGTCCTTCTCGTCGTCAACCTTCGGGGCGTGCTGCTGGCGCGGGGCGCCGCCGCGCGAGCCGCGGTACCCGCCGCCGCGGTAGCCGCCGTCTTCGCCTCCGCGGTAGCCGCCGCCACCGCGGTAGCCTCCCTCCTCGCCTCCGCGGTAACCGCCGCGGTAACCACCCTCCTCGCCGCCACGGTAGCCGCCGCGGTAGCCACCCTCTTCTCCCTCGGCGCCGCCACGGCCGCGGCCGCGGTAGCCGCCACGAGAGCCCTCCTCTCCGCCGCCGCGGCCCCGGCCGCGATAGCCGCCCTCCTCGCCGCGGCCCCGGCCCCGGTACCCGCCGCGGAACCCGCCGTCCTCGCCGCCGCGTCCCCGGCCGCGGCCGCCGCCGCGCCGGCTGTCAGAGAACGTGAACTGGATGTCCTCGACGATACGCTTGGGGCGTCCGTGGCGCACGTCGTGCTCCTCTTCGTCCTGTCGGGGGGAGAGAGCGGTCAGTATCGGGGGAGAGTGGGGTTAGGGTTGGGAGGAAGTTAGCGGTTAGGGTTGGGAGGGAGTAGAGATACAGTCGGGGGTGGGAGGAAGTAAGCGGTAAGGGGTTGAGTCACACACAATAAATAGCGATCCCAGCGAATACGGAAAACAGCAACCCTATTCCAATCGCACTCACAGACAGTAACTCGTCCATCCAACTACCGTCCACACTGAAAACACAACGCAATAATATTCCACTCGGTCTGCAAACCCATGAGTTAGGAATAAGGATATCAGCATTAAGCAGTGCCAACTATCACCGTCCTCCCAACTCTGCCTCGCGCTTCCTCCCTCGCTCTGCCCCCTCCCGCTCACCGAGTCCTCCTCCTCTTCCTCATCGCTCTCCTCGTCATCGTCGCGCTTCTTCTTCAGCTCGAACGTGTTCTTCCACTGGGAGGCGTTCTCGCCCTCGCCGGCGCGGCGCAGGTTGAACTGCGGCTTGGAGCGCGGCTCCTGCTGCTTCTTCCACTCGTCCAGGGTGAGCTCCTGCGGTCCCTCGGGCTCGGCCGGCGCCTGCTCGCCCTCCTCGGCCGGCGCCGGCTCGGCAGCCGGCTCCGCCTCCGTGGCAGACTCGTCCAGGCTGGTCGGCTCCAGCGAGGCGGCGATCTCGTCCTCGACGGTGCCCCAGTTGCCACGGCCGCTGCCGTCGCGCTTGTCGACCGCCTTCACCCCGCTGCTGAGAGCAGACGGCCGCCGGCACAGTCAGTCGCGGAGGGGCACAGACGGGGGAGACCACAGTAGTAATACAGCATAGACGGCGGCCGGTACAGTCAGTCGCGAAGGGGCACAGACGGGGGAGACCACAGTAGTAATACAGTATTACAGCACAGACAGCGGCCGGTTAACAGTCAGTCGCGGGGGAGGCAGACGCAGGGGCGCGTACAGCACCCAATAGACGGTGGCGGAGGATGGACGGTTACGGTAGTACAGTACAGACGGCGGCGGTAGTCGGGCATAAACCTTGGTGACGGTACACACCACACCCAGTCGCGGATATACAGGCGCGGGTACGGGTGAAAGGGGCCCACTCAGCGCTTGTGGGGTAGGAGTAAATTAAGCACGGAGTGACTCATTCGGCAGCTATTGCGCAAACAACAAATAGTAAATGCAAACAATTCGACTTATCTGGCCATGAACTTTGCTACGATGTAACGTTAACTAAACACTGAAGAGCTGCAGCGCTGCTTCTCCTGAACAAACACGGCTATCAGATGGCTAAGCCGAAACATTTTATCCAGGCAAACAGACAGCCAGAGTACACCAGCGTGTTTGTGAGGACATTCAGCCGAACACGTCTGTATGTGGGTGGTGTAAACGCAGATAAGCCGGTAGCCCGGTGCCTACAGGGACTCGCAGCGGACGGTGAGCGCTCGTAAGAGTGGGATGCAGGGTGCAGAGCGTGGCAGCGGTGAGGGGCCATGCTGGGCGGGCAGGCGGCAGGTCATGCGGCGGGGCAGGGGGTGCATCACCTGCGGTCCGAGCCCGATTGCCGGTCGAACTCGCGCTTGCCGCGGAAGTCGGAGCCGCCGCCGCGTCCCCGGCCGCGACCGCGACCTCCGAATCCGCCGCGCCCCCGACCCCGACCGCGCTCGGCGCCGTCCGCCGGGTGGCCGAACCGCGGCGCGCCGCCTTCCCTGCAGGGTGGAACAGCTCCGGTCAGGGGAGAGGGCAGGACATCCAATTAGACTGCCTTCTCCAGTCAGGAGAGGACAGCCTCAGTAGGTGGTGCCCTCCGGTCAGTGAAGGACAGCACATTCACACGGGTAGTCCGGAGCAAACGCTCCGCATACGATCAAGACGGAACTGATGCACTCGATACATACACGATTGAACCATCAGACTATGCAAAACTGAGCATTCATGAAGTGAAAGTTAGTCAACTTCGCTGCCGTACCTTTTGATAGAAACATGGCCAAACGCTTGTATTATCGCGACATGTTATGGTAATGACAAAACCCCCAGAACCCCGATGATATAACAAATACTCGTCCCCACGACCCTTTCTCCGTTCCACAGGCGCACCCTCCCATACCCACCTGTTGTAGCTGGGGCGGTCGTCATAGTTTCTGCGATTGTTGCGTTCCTCGCGGTTCTCGGCCGGGGCTCCGAAGCCGCCGCCGCGGCCCCTGGCGGCACCACCACGGCCCGAGGCCGGCGCGCTCTCTGCTGCAAACGGTACAGAACCATCGCGTCAGATTGTATCGCACCACACTTCGGGTGTCAGGCAGGTCATTTGGCCGGCCAGCAAGATTATTAGCACCACGCAAGAATTGCTAAGTGTTTACGTACAGCTAGTGCAGCAATGAATGTCAAATGTAATGCGATTTGCATCGTGTGTTTCGTGTTTCAAGACCCAGATAGTCCGTACTCCGTAGTGTGATGTAATGCTCGTTAGTCGTTACGCGGTACCCGACCCAGTCAGCGGGCGGGTATTACCGCCCCGGCCAGCTGTGAGCCGCCGCTGCAGACTGTGCCGCGAGCGCACCCACAGCTGGCGGCGCCCCGGGAGGCGGGGGAGGGGAGGGGGAGAGACGCCGGGTCCGCCGGCGGCATGGCGGGCACGTGGAGAGCTCCGGCCGTGTCGGCGGGGTATAAATAGCTGTCGGGAGGCGCCGCCCGGCCGCGCCGGCCGTATCGGGTAGCGGCCCCGCTGCCGCCGCCCCGGACCCGGTCAGGAAGCCGTGCAGTTCCGCGAGTCACGGCTGGTGGGAGCCCAGGAGGCGATACGCCTTCAGTGCCACAACAAAACACAGCACGGCCCGACGGCAACACAGTCTAAACCAGCACCGCCAGCTATCAGGGCTGTTATCCGGTGGCAATACCCTCGTTCATGTCAGCTGGCGCCTGGCGTTCATGTCTGCACATATACCGACCAGAAGATTACCGCACGCTACCGAGATAGGCAGGGTGCTCTCCCATTGCAGATGGGGAGAGCCAAAGGAATAGCAAAGATACCATGAGTCACGCTCCTATGAGCAAACTGCACAGAGGTTAAACCCGACAAGGGTTCAATAAACTCTGGGTGAATGACGGCCATCCAAAGCACTGAACGACTCAACTGAACGACTTGTGTTTAAAGATACGGAACCAATTGCATGCCCTTTCGGTTGTAACCGACAACCGTGTCATGAATCGATGAGCAACGCCTTAATAGTCAGAAGTGTTGCTAGCCTACTATGAATAAATGAAACAATTAACAAATTACAATACGAAATTCAATTTTGGTTTACACGAATCACACAATAAAATTGGAACAAAAACAAATAGAGGCGTCAAACTATCGCTGTCCTTCCGAGCCTCGCCAAGATACAGCTCATGCAAACACGACGGCAGACGCGCCCTTTAAAAATGACGCGTCCAATAAATACACAACTGTCTAAAACGTGACGCACTGTGCTACGCTCATATGGTTAAATTGGGTCATACTCGCTGCTTAACCCTCGCCAGGCGAGGGCCTTTTCCATAACAAGGACGGCGAGGGGGGTTGGTACGACCCCCCCTCGCGATTGGCTCCTATGGCACTTAGAAACGCCAAATTTACAGGGTAGGTGTGTCCATTGAAGATCTCGCCCCTGTGAAAGTTTGGTAATTCTACGCCAATATTTAGGGGGGTTTTGGGGGGTATGAGTGCAAAAATTTTGCTAGAACATGTCAAAAGTTTTTCGCTTATAACTTTTTACCTAGTAAAGATAGAGCAAAAAATAAAAGCACCAGTGAACTCAGGACGTCCGTGCACATCGAATGATATACTTTGTTACCAATTTAAGTGAACTCTGGAATTCAGTTGCCGCTAAGCTAGTCCAATTTTCCCCTGACCTTGTACCGGTTTTTGTGACCTGGTGACCTGACCTGAAAAGACTGGGAAGGTGCAATTTTCAGGGAAGGTGCAAAAATGTTGCCCCAGAGGGTATGCCAAATTCGCTACGCGCCGCCGTTTTTACGTTATTTGCTAAAAACCTTAGGGAGGTGCATCAACCCCCCCTCGCCGGGCGAGGGTTAAACGCCTAGCCAACGCCCAAGTTGTGGAGCAGCGATAATGATACTTGAGTTAAAGGGCGTTGTAGCGTGCGTTCGGCATCCGGAAAACGTTATCCTTTGGATATTCTCGGTCGGAAAATTTTTGGTGACAACCTGCGTTCGGTATGCCTCGTTTAGGGAAGAATCATCCACGGGATAATATCCTCCACTTGAGCGTTCGGCATCACGGATGTCAGCCCCATGGACGGTCACAGTAATGTGACTTACTTTTGGTTTTCGAGCTTGCAAACACCCTTACTTATTTGCAGTAGCGGCGGAACACCTTCAATTAAGGCGGGGGTCAGTGTGGCCAAATTGGTGATGTTGCGGGGAAAGTCACCCCCCAATGAAAAGTATAATGACATCCTCAGAAATTTTAAAATTACATCATCACGACGTTTTTGTCGTGAAAGCATGCATACCTATGTAGTGTAGGAATAAAGACTAAAAATGTTCCAATGGGCGATTCGCACAGTCAAACTCGTGCTGTCGCGCTTGCAATTTTTTTTTTAATCTTTAATGACAATATTCAGAGTTTTTTTTTGTACTTTCCACCAGAACTTGACGTCAGGTATAGTTTTTCCACATTATCTGTAAAAACTGCACCTAAATTGAAGTTGAAGACGAGTTTTTTTTTAAATAGTGACATCCTCGTACGACTTTTTTATACATCCTCCCCCTAACGCTAAACCAATTTGGCCACACTGGCGGGGGTGGGGGCACTGCCGACTTTTGGTCCCATTCTTTCCATGCAACGCCCATAGGGCTAATGTTAAAATGCCAAAATCAAAGGGGGCACGGTGCCCCGGTGCCCTCCGGCACGGTGCCCCGGTGCCCTCCCCGTTCCGCCGCCTATGCTTATTTGCGATATTGCATCACACATAATACGTTATCACATTTTACAATTGATCTTTAAAAATCAAAAGTAAAAAAAAAAACATTTGATCACCACTATCAAAAATACATCCCACCTCAAACACGGAAGAAATCCAGCCGCCCCAGGTCCACAGATTCTCCCCAAGGAGGAATAATTATCGGGGAGAATTTTTTGTTATCGCGATACCGAACGTGATCCCCGATAATGCTCGCTGATACCGGATATTTCTTCCTGATTTTCCGGATGCCGAACGCACGCCTAATTGTAATAGGCATTCAACCGCAAAAGGACATCGTCAACAAATCTCATGTCAAATCGATGGCCAGTGACGCGATGGCGAGACAAGCACATGTAAATTATACATATGTGCCTAATTAGCATGCAAAACAAAGACCATACCTATAGACAAGCACATTCAATTCGCATGTCAACACATGCGAGGATTTTTCTTTAATGACTAGGCATATTGCGATGAAGCTTAGCCTATCTGCGAGCGCCAACCGGGCGATGTGCTTCCGCTGGTGCCGCGTTACAGACAAATAACAGGGGTGACCCGCAAAGTCAGCTGGAGCCTCACCCATGAGCGCCGTGCAGATGACCCTACATCTCAATAGCAGCTGAAATGGCTGCACTCAAAGTTGTGCATGTGCATGGCCTCTCCTCCATGTTAAGACGCACTGGGATGGATGCACTCAATGTAGGCATGCTGTTATGGACTGACTAGATGGGTGACCTTCAAGTCTATCAGGATCTCACTTTTCACTTGTGCAAGTGCTGTGCACATAATTGTAATTCCTCATTTGTTGTCTGAACGACATCTTATTTCTGGTACTGAAATAGTTTTGTTTCCAATATAGCTCAGGCATATGACTCATACTCTGTTATCCCTCATACTAATACCCTCGCCCACACTGTTCTTTTACGGCATCTAGCATATGGGGGGGGGGGGGGGGTCTGTTGCCTGTTCTCATCCCCAGCTGTTTGGCCTCTGGTTGAGCTATACAGCTTTGGGGCAAAAACGAGTATGTTGCAAAGGGCTACAGGGGCATTCCACGATAGATCGACCAAAATTTTATCAGATTTACACCCGACCATTTTTGATTTTGATGAAATATTGTCTACAGGGTTCTCTTATGCCCTGAAGTCAATGGTGACAACGCCAGACCCCTACGGTCAGCGGTTTAGGAGATATAGCCCCGGGCATTTTGACGAGGTCACTCTGCAGAGTGATTTTTTAGGTGCTATATCTCCTAAAGTAATGAAGGAAATGCATTAAACCTGTACATCGTTGCGATGGCGGTGAAATGGGCAATTAATTGGCCATCTCGGATTTTTAAAAAAAAATGATTTTGATTTTTAGCTGTGACGTCATCAATTTTTAAACTTTCTGGCTACCCCCCTAGTACATTAAAATTTGCCATTATTTTTGCTCAGAAATAAAGTTCCGTCAATTTCCTTTCGACTGGGAAAAAACAAAAATGGTAATCTTTCTACAAATATTTTATTTTATTTTTTGAAAATCGCACTACAAACTCTGATTTACAGAATCGGGTTATTAAGCAATATAAGACACATCTGCGAGGACCAGTTACTTCCAAAAAGAGGTTATCTGGGTTTCGGCATATAATATTCTTCTCTTTAACCCGCGCCCGGCTGGGGGTCCTGGATTTCCACGCCCTGCTGGGGGGGGGGGTGTTTGAACACCGCCCCCCCTTCTAACTCGGCTCCTGGGCCACGTAGCGATACGCGGAAGGCGGCGTTCGAAAGAGCGTCAAAAATAATGAGGAAATCACTTCGGTCAATTTTTTGGTCAGGTCAAAGGTCAGGTCACCAGAGGTCATTGAAGGCAAAATTTCGCCGATTTCCAGGTCGAATGTCGACAATTTCCAAGAAGCCAACGCATAACTCGGGAACCAATAGAGCTACAGCGCCGCGGAAAAGCGCATTCGATAGCCCTATTAACGCCCTTTCTGAGTAATTTTCTCAGATTTGACCTAACGTGAACGGTTTTGCCTGCAGGGGGCAAAAACTGCAAAAATAACCGATTTTTTCGGAAACAGTTTTCTGCAATAACTTTTGACCCAAGCCTTGTACGAGCTTACTTTTACCGGCATCGTGTTCCTCTCGTCAAGACGCATCGAATGAACTATAACTTGACCTTGAAAGGTCAACTTGAAAATTTGACCTCAGGTCAAGGTCATGACCTGACCGGAAAGGGTCATGTTGCATATCAGTCGATCCGTATCGTCGAGCTGAACACATCTAAGGCGTT